GTTAATGGACATCCCCCAGTCCTATGCTGGCCTACCTAACATTATTAGGCATACAGAATAGTGAGGTATGTGGTTCAAATTGCCTTCTGTCCATGTTGGACATGGGGAATTTAACTTATGAAGAGTCTTGAGTTTTAAAAGAGGAATGTCACATGTAGATACTTAAACAACAGTGAGATTCTATAATAATGTGCTAGTTTGCAGAATATTTTAAAATAAAGTCTCTTATAGAAGTTGTCTGATCTACAGCTCACAATTCGATTCTAAAATCAATCCTTGGAGGATGACCTGAGGTCAATGTTGAGAGTAGTAAATAAAGTTTACCTGCATGGGAGAGGAGGGTAGTTATCTTATTTGAACTCCTACACAAGAATGACGTAAAACTTTTCCGTGTCAATAATTATCTTGAGGTCTGAGTTTTAAAATAAGAAAATCAATATTGAATATCCGAGTCAACTCAGTATTGTGTGTGTTTGAGGGTGGGTGGATGGGTGGAGGATCGTGGACTCCGTATTTAAAAATATACTATGTATGTTATTGGCTTTGCATGATAGGAAGAGGGAGTGTGCGCACCAGTTAAGTAAGGGCTGGAGACTACTTCACCCCCGTTCTTCACCTCGTCGGAATCCTAGACTTTCTTTATGTACAAGTACATCCAAGATTGCCTGTGCCTAGACCTTGGAGAATACTTTCATGACATTCAGAGAGGAAAATTAACTTTGGTGAACTCAGGAAGGAGAAGATTGCATTCCCTAGGACATTACCAACTTCCAAAAGCCTATTTGAAAGAGACCTTGACTACAGGCAAGGTTCAGATGTGCTCCTAACAAGTTTAAGATCTATATACACTGAAGGAAGAAAGCATTACAGATATTTTAAGAAAACATTGTTTTTTCAAGTTGGGAAGAACTTTAAAGATCGCCTTCACAGTTCTGATTGTAAACTTTCCGAATATGTGACTTAAACTTTGATTGTAGAAGGGGTGATTTCCTAATAAGCACTATGTACTTGCTTAAATATCATCTCTTAGAATCAAACCAGAGAATGGAAAACCCTACTACTTTTCATGATTTTAATGATTTTCCATTTTTCTCTGGAAGATAAGATGTTATATATTATTTCTTGCATTACTATTATTGTGTTAGGCCTGGTTGACTAGAGGAACAAATCCTGAGACATTCATATATATATTAAAGGGTTTTATATCAAGAAGTAATTATTTATCAAGAAAACATCCCATCCCAGTCCACCTCAAGTCCATAAGTCCTATACTAGTCCATAAGTCCCTCTTCAGACTGACACAGCCATATGCAATGATGCAGAATGCAGGAAGATCACAAGCCAACATGTAGATCCAATGGCAGTGGTTCTGGTGGCAATCTGGGTCAGCCCGCAGGAGGGTGAAGGCAGAAGCAAGAGGGGGGGTGGAGTTTCTGAGGGCTCTCCTTATGAGAAGGCCATACCCACGGAGGCACCACCAAGCTTTGATCTGATTGACAGGCTACATTCCAGCCCTACACTTTTATATATCTCCAAGTGACATGAAATTATGTAACTACCACAATTATAGCTTAAAACATTCCAGATTATTTAAAATGCATATTTCCAGAGGGGAGAGTTTTATAACATTTTTGCAAGAATATTGAAATAGAAATGGTGTCTTTCTACTGGACTGAGATTATATAAATAACATAAAGAATTTTAAAGTGACTAGAATATATTTGATCTTTATCAAATATAGGAAAGTTTTGGGGTTTTTTAAATCTGAGGAACTTAAATAGTATATGGCAAACATCAAAAGGAGCTCTATTTAAATAAAAGAAAAATAGTAAAAAAATTTTAGAGAACTATTAGAACTTGAAGGTTGTTTAGGAGTAGGAAAAACATAAGGAGGTGAAATAAAGCCCATTGCCTTTGAGTTGATTCTGACTTGCGGTGACCCTGGGGGACAGAGTAGAACTCTCCCAGTGGATTTCCAAGGACAGTGAGTAGTGTCTTCCTCCCCCAGAGCAGCCTGCTTGTAAAACCCTACATAATAAGATGAATAGAAGGGCAGCTATTCGGTGAAAGAACCCGTGGCACCCTCATGACCCATGGAGACTGTGCTCATAGAGCCTCGTATGAAACATTAGAAAGTACAAGAAAAGAAGCTTTGGGGTTTTTTGTGGTGAACGGTTGGTTACTTTCATCATCGTCATGACTGATGCCTTTGTTTTCCTTAAAAGATCTCAGTGAAACTTTCTTGTTTACTGTAAATGAAAAGTTTTTAGCCTGATTGTTTCCTGAGACACATTAACCATCATGTTAGCATTAAACTTTCATACTAATGGCATTGAGATCATTTGGATAAAATCATATTTCCATTTTTCAGTTTATGAAATCATAAGTAACCAAATGACTTTAAAAAACTCTTTAGACTTAGAAAAATGTCATTATAGAAAGATTTTCAAGTTAAACATAATATATGCTTATATAGATATAAGAATTCAAAGCAAAATTATGAGCTTTGGTATTGTTTTTTAAACTATACTGTGATTGTAAATAGATGCTGTCAGTTTTGTTATCATGAGCAACATGGTTATCATTGCTTCTGCCTTCTCTCCACAGATAAATTTGCAAAGGAAGATGCGAGTTACTGGTGTGATTACCCAAGGAGCCAAGAGGATTGGGAGCCCAGAGTATATTAAATCATACAAAATTGCCTACAGTAATGATGGGAAGACGTGGGCAATGTACAAAGTGAAAGGCACCAATGAAGACATGGTAAGACTGATTTCAAACTTATTTTATTTAAATTTGGAATTCTTTTGCTAATTATTGATTATCAAATGACTACTGTGTTTTCAGCCAAAGATTTACGTAGTGGGAAATAATGTGTGGTATGTTTTAAAACTTGGGCAAATAATGTTAAAGAGGTAGGAATTTTAAATGAGAGTTCCACATTTGCAATGATGGCCATTTATGATTTTCTGAGGTTTTAATTGGGAGTCTTATAAAAACTTTGTCACAGCTTAGTATGGTCCTATGTATGACAATTTGTTTTATTTTAATAAGAATTTTCAGCTTTAGTATTTTGCCTTGAATATTATCAATTGGCTATAATCAAATAGTGGTTTATCAAAACTAGTATCTTAAAAGCAAAAAAGGATGAAGTCACACCTAAGATGCATTTGATATCTTTATATTTGATAATTTACACATGGGGTACTGCTCCTTATAAGAATAAAGTGTCAGTGGAGGTAGATATAATATGAATGACTCCCTTCACCCATCGTATAATATTACCAATTCTTCAGTGATGCTCCTTTGAGATTTGTATTAAAAAATACGAAGACTTTGGTTCATCCTATTTAAAGCTGAGCCTTTAGCCTAGACTCTAATGCATTTGATTTTAGATTGTAAAAATTAAATAAAGTTGAGTAAATTTAAATAAAGTTTTCTGGTTATCGGTTTACATACAATGTCAAATAAAGGATGTGAGGGCGATCTGGCTGCGACATCTGTCACCCCATTGATCGCCAGGGTTGATTCGGCTGATCTGACTGGCTAGGCGGGTGTCCCCTTCCTCCCTCACCGCTCCATGTGCGTCCCTCCCGAAGCTGTGCGCTTGGTTGAAGAGGACGACCTTCCCCGATAGAAGGAAGACCGTCCTTCGGTCAAGGGTATACGAGTAGCTGTGCTCCCCTGCTAGAACCTCCAAACAATGTCAAATAAAGATGATATCTAAGGAATTTTAGAATGACTCACTTTAGTACATTTTTTTTAAGAAATGTAATTTTTCATTTTATGTAGATGAGTAATTTATCTAACGATCTAGGGTCGATAATACAAGGAATCTTCATGTGTCAGACCATAGAATTAGAACATCGCAAAGGTTGATTTTTAACAAAAAATAGCTGTAAAAACTAAGTAGTAAAATGAGTAAGCAAACCCAAGTTAAGCTAAAAATCTGTAAGGTTCTCATATTTCAAGAAGAATGAGAAGAGAAAGAGACTCCACATTCTTAAGGCTTTGTCTGAACACAGATAGCCCATCGGAGCACAGAATATACCCTATGCCATAAAGGCTTGTAACATTTAGGAGTTTATCTATTCACTGTTGGTGGCAATGTGCTTCCTAAAATGCTCCAGTGCCCAAAATCATTTTATCTAGCTCAGGAAAGATGAAGGTGGGTAGGGCAAAGGGTTAATATATGAATTGTGTAAAGAAACTGTCGTAATTAATCATTTTAATTGTCATATTATCTCCTCACACAGGTGTTCCGTGGAAATGTTGATAATAACACCCCCTATGCTAACTCGTTCACACCACCCATAAAAGCTCAATATGTCAGGCTCTATCCTCAAGTGTGTCGAAGGCACTGCACTTTAAGAATGGAACTCCTTGGCTGTGAGCTCTCAGGTGAGTCTCACATTATTTACAGAAAGACCCCTGATGGGGTAGTGGGTTACATGTTGGGCTGTTACCCACAAGGTCAACAGTTCAAACCCAACCCAGTCCTGAGGAAGAAAAGCAAGCCTTTCTGATCCCATAAAACTTTACACTTGCAAAAAACTCACAGGGACAGTTCTGTGTTCTCCTCTTGTGCTGCTGTGAGTCAAACTGGCGGGGATTTTGATTTTTGTCATATTTAAAAGTAACCTTGGTGGTGCTGTGGGTTAGATGTTGTAGTGCTAAGCATGGGATTGGAGGTTCAAACCATTAGCCACTGTGCAGGATAAAGATGAGGCTGTCTGTTCCTATAAAGAGTTACAATCTCAGAAACCCTTCATTGTGAGTTGGAATTAGCTTAATGGCAGTGTTTTGCTATTGTTTATGTTTGCTTTATATATCCTATTAAAGGACACAAATAGCAAGCTCTTTCACATTAGTTGTATTCTACAACTAAAACACAAATTTTCAATATCCATAGATGTTCATTTCTGCTACAAAACATTTAGGGCATTCTTTGTGAAAATCACTGTGTTGCATGTAAAATAAAAAATGTTTATAACATGGTGCAGAATGATTTAAGTAAAAGGGCCAATATATTTTTGAGTTTTATGTGGTCAGCAGAATTATAGCAATTCTTACTGGCAGTTTTTGTAAAATGTGAATAAATGTGTCTTATTGCTTTTGGTAGTAATTCTGATTTATAATTAACTTTATTTTTGTCAATTGACCAGGAGACTTTGGCTTTTTTTGGTTGAGGTTTTGTGAAACATACAAATTTATCATTTCTCCCAAGGAAGCTATACTTCAGAACTGAGATTGTTTCTATAAATTCATTCTTGGATCTTTCTTTCTTTCTTAGTGATAGACCTGCTTATTGTACAAACAGTGGTTATCCATCTCAAAAAAATAATATATCAAAGGACTTGAAGGTAAATAATGCTTGCCCTCCAGGAGCCTCAGGACTAGGTCTAAGAATGAAGCCTTAATGTTCTGTTCTCAAAATGGTCCCCTTTCAATATAGCTAGATTGTGAACGAAATAGAAAATCTTGTCTAGACATTTGACTGCGTTATATTGTCGGTGGCTGTTCTTCTATACCCGGCATCAAAATGTATAAGCTGTCTTTGCCCCAGTGGCCTGAAATGATTTTTCTCAAACAACTATGAAGGATTAAAAAAAAGAATTTTTAATGAAGAAAGAAAGAAAAGAAAGGCTTCCTTTTTAGTATATCCTTGAAATAAGAGAAACGTTTTATCAAACTTACCACTGAGATCATTTTTTAAATAGGAGTATGCACCTTTGCAGAGTGACAATTATGTGCTTTTAATTGATATAGGGATTGCTTATCGGTTAAATAGTATGCTTCCCATGCCCCTTCTTGGATTGATTTCTGGCACCATGAATGTCTTTTAAGATATAAGAGTTGCTATTTAAAAACAACTTTCTTTTTTTTAATAAGCCCATAACATTTAGAGGAACGATGGTAATGTGGGCCAGATGAATGATCCTGTTATAAAAATAATATTTTCATATTATTTATAGGTGTCTTTTATGAAGCAACTGGCACACGGTTTTATTGCTATTAATTATCGTAACGGAGATGTTTTCCCTGTTTTGGTAATTCACACTTGTTGTTGACGAACACTATATCTCAGCAGTATTATCGCTGCACAGTGTTTGTGTTGCATGTCCCTCTGTCACCAGGACCAGTGTCACCCCTAAGCCATCCATCATAAAGCAATCTAGAGGAAGCCACCGCATGATGAGGTCTCTGCTGTACGTGCTGTGCTCTTTAGTTGCTTAGCTTTACTTTCCCCAGTTTTCCAGCCTTTTGATTCATGAGGGTCAGTCACTTATACATGGCACAGTGGCACCCTTAAGGTGTAAATATATTTTACCTTCAAGTTGACAGGAGGCTACACTTGACACTTTACAGATTTTATTTTCTCCAAAGGAACAGTGTTCTCTCAATTCTACAAATTAATTTTGAACTTGCGAGTAAAGAGTAATATTTCGTGCAAGGTATTATAAAGAGCTCGGCCACTCCACTATAGAAATAATGAACTTCCTTGTTAAAGCTTCATGTGGCTCAGATGCTATCCACAATAGTAAGAGTTGATTGTTTTCTGTTTATGCAGTAATGATGAGAAGGGAAATCTGTGGCATTAGGTACATTAGGAGAGTGGTTAGTTATAGCACTTGGGAAGAAACAGTAATATAACATATCAGATGGTGTCCCAGAATCCAGTAAGCATTGTAAACCCCAAGGCTGCCTTATTTTATTCAAGAAACTGTTGTAATATCTTGCAGGCTGCCTGAAAGTATGCTAGTTAATATTTTTCCAAGACACTTAGAAAGAAAATCTAAAATGTCCAGAAGAGATATGATTTAAAATGTGTAGCCTGAAATAGATCATGGCCATCACTAAAGGCCATCACTAAATAAAATGCTCGCCCTTTTATTCTTTGAGTAAATATAATTATTCAGTTGTTGTGGGGGGCTAATTACTAGATAACAGATTAGTTATGAAATTAATTCTATGACTAAGCAAAAATAGTCAAAGTAGAGCCATTCTCTTTCTAGCGTAATATTTAGATTTGCTATTATGTCACCACAGGAGAAATACAACCCATTTCCTTTTACCTTGTATCTTTCTTCCCAAACAAGCAGTTTTACAAAGGTGGAGGAGGAAGGGTGTAGAAAAACAAGGCAGACATCTGTAAGGTAGACAACAGGTATTACCTACCGAGTAACTGCCTGCACATAAATAGCACGCCTTTAAGACCATTCGAACTTGTAGCGTCCTTGAGATTTGTTGTGACATTTTCCTCACCTGGAATTTATATTCAAGTTTTATAGCTGTTTGTGTTATAGAGCTTAAAGTATAGAATTCCTTTTAGACTTTCCCCTGAAACCAAAATTCCTGTGCTAAGAATAGAATTGGTTAACCCACGATGCCATTTTTTATCATGTTTGCTTAGAAAAGGCATATTTCTAGGAAGTGGTGGTAAATGCAAATATGAAGGAACCTCATGTTTGAAGTGACTTAGCCAATTGCAATTTGTGACGTGCTCACATGCGTCAAATTAGACTGCACTCCCCAGGATTGTCAGTGGTTTTGTAGAAACAAATCACCAGTCCTGTCTTCTGAAGCGCTTCGGAGTGCCCTGGAAGGTCTAAATTGCTGTCGGCAGTCAAACACCTAAGCAATGCCTAACCATTTACACCATGCAGGGCTCCTTTTGACTAGCGCATGGATCAAGCGTGTAGTCAAGTTTGTACCTTATTAAACCTAAAGGTGTATGTGGTAGATTTGAGGATCTTCAAAAATATTCAAACAGCAGAGTTGACTGAGTGTGAGCTTGTCTGGTCATGGTTTTTGCTGTCATTTGCTTGTTTTCTTCTGTCGTCTTACCTATTAGCTTGAGGTCTACATTTGCCCAGTACCTTCTGCCCAGTATACACTGAGCAACCACTGCTTTCCTGTCTTCTGGAGGAAGCCCTGTGGTTCTTGAAGAATTGTTGGTAAAGTTTATCAGACATCTCTTTGGATACACAATGTTGTCCTGTTTAGCATATGACCAGGGAACAGTTTCTGACAATGGCATATGCTGAGATGACTTTCGTGTCCGATGTAATGGAACCAAATACAAGAACACTTGATACACTTTTTGAGAAAATGTCCCGGTTTTAAAGACAGTGAAACCGTTGAAGCCCAGGGAGCAGTCAGGAGGCTACCAGTAATGAGACAGGAGAGCATTTGACTATTGTTTGCATTTTGCGGCATCATCTATCACAGCAAAATAGTTTGAATCGTCTGTCTCATTTTCCTTTCTTTTTTTTCAAAATGTATTCCAACCAAATAGGCGGAATTGGCTATCTTGTTTTTCAATTTGTCCCAGATTCATTTCTGATTATAGCTTTCCTTGTGAATTTAGATGCTTTCTTTTCGGTGGAGCAAACAGCATTGTGCTTAATCTTCTCTTGCCGATACAAAAGGAACACAGAAAACGTCCAGGGTGATAAATTATTTTCTCATGGTGTCCTTCTTGTTTTCTTTCAGGCTGTTCTGAGCCGCTCGGGATGAAATCAGGACACATCCAAGATTATCAGATCACTGCTTCCAGCATCTTCAGAACTCTCAATATGGACATGTTCACTTGGGAACCCAGGAAAGCTCGGCTGGACAAGCAAGGCAAAGTGAATGCCTGGACTTCTGGACACAACGACCAGTCACAGTGGCTGCAGGTAACCTTTCCTAACACTGGTGTACACCACCCACCACCCCTTAGGCGATCACCTATTGGTTAGGTGAATGTTAGAATCAACACCTTCTCCCACTGGATTTGCTAACTAGATAAAAATGTAGACATTCCTTATGAATTCAGGCCCAGATGCTATTTTTACTCTCATGTAGATTTTCAGATACCATTGCTCCTTTGATTCACTTATTATACCAGATTACACTATGTAGTCGTCAGTCTGATCAATGATGAAAGCATTTGCATTCTAACTCTCCATTATTATAATGCTGTGTCAATATTGGTTTTGCAAATGTCACAGGAGGAAAGCAGACCGCAATGAAATCAAGCCACTGACCTGCAGATTGTTCACAAAGAAGCATGAGTCATGACTTATCACCTCGTTACCTGTGGTTGCTAAGCAATGTAGCAATTTGATTATGTTCTCATAACTGAGCTGGCTGAGAGAAGGAAAGCTTAGAGGCAGCAGCAGCAGCGCCCAGTTAGCATTTGCAAATGAAGTGACGTCACAGCCAGTGCTTTTCAGAAGAGTCTCTTGAAATGCACTTATTTGTGGAGTATTTTTGAAGGATGAACGGATTTATTAATGTTTTTCTGTGGCAAAGCAAAGTAAGACAGCTTAATTCCATAATGAGGGAACTGTAGGTGAGATACACGGATGTGTGTGCCGTACCCATGAATTTGAAATCCATGGCTGTTCCTTATACTTCTCAAGACCACGATAACAATGAAAACAGGTTGTAACGTTTCAAAGCAGATTTGCGGCACCAGACATGAGTATCACCAAGTCACATAAAATTTCTAATAGTCCCACCCCAGTCTTTTTTTTTTAACTTGCCTGGCCTTATAATTTATTTTTTTTTTCATATTTTAATACATAGAAACCATCACTTATTTTATTACTTTCTCACCTGGACCTTCATTTAACTGGAATTGTATTGTACTCTTTCATTTGTTACCACACATCACGGGTAGTGTACTTGCCACTTGTCTATAAGGAGCCTGCTGGCACCTGGGGCTAAATGCTGGGCTGTCATCCGAAAGTGTGGTGGTTCAAACTCCGTTGGGCCGTGGGGGAAAGAGGCGGAGGTCTGCTTCTGTAAAGCCCCGAGAGCCCCACGGAGCAGCGCTTCTCTTTCCTGTAGGCCCCTGTGAGTTGGAATAGACTACAGGGCAGTGTGCTTGGCTTGGCGTGGCTTCCCCTATTACTCTTCTACGAGTCTCTCGAAGACAGAGCATATATGCTATTTTATTTCATCTAGGTACCCAGCATGCTGCGTTTGTCATGCAGTTCACAGGTCATTCCCTTAGCAATAATCATTGAGTGCCTGTGAAAAATCATACAACCTGATCGTGATGCCACAGGCGTGGCAGGCAATACACGGCTCATGGTTTTGAAATATCACTTCCTTCTTAAGCCCATTCATCTTCTTTGGGTTGCCATTACACTATGATTCTCTTGCTTTCCTCCTACTTCCTAGCTAATTCTTTTCAATATCTTTTCCATACCATTTACTTCCTTTTAACTTATTCTCCCTTCTTTTTAAACTAATGCTACACAGCCCTACAAACTGATTCAGCAAGTTTTGGTGACCTCGATGACTACCTAATGATCCAACTACTTTAAGGTCATTTCATTGCAAATGTGCAGTCTCTTACTCCCTTAAAAAAAATTCTTAGAGAACTTCCAGCAAGCTCAGAATAATGTTCACATGCCTAACATAGTACCCAGGTGTTTCCACGATAAGGTCCCATTTCATCTCATATCACATTCTTCTACTTTGGTTTGGGCTGTTCAAATTAAGCGCAGTCTCTAACTTCTTGTCCCTGAACAAGCGTCCTCTCCCTAGAGGAAAGAATGGGGAGTGCCGCTGCTCACAGCACCACTGCCCTTCAGTTTAGTACATCTTTCAGCTACAGTTTGCATGAACCTTCCCCTGAGAGGAGCCCCTGGGTGGCTGCAGGGGGTTCAACCCTTGAATGTTAATCAAAGGTTTGGCTGTGTAATTCCATACAGAGGTACCTTGGAAGAAAGAGCTGGAAATATACTTTTTCTTCTTTAATGCCAGTCATCGAAAACCTTACGGAATACAGTTCTGCAGTGACACACATGGGACCCCCATGAGTCAGGGTGGATTCCACAGCACCTGGTTTTCCTCGAGGAAGCGCTGAGGCAGCTCCATCTCACCCCAACCCTTGCTTAATTCTCCCCCTGATGCGCCAGTGTCTTCCGTAACTCCCTCACCAGCATTTCCTTGGCTACATTGTTCACTCCAGAAGGTCTACTGACTGCACACCCCCAACCCTTTATTAACTATCTATCACAATACCCTACTCATGGAAACCATTTGATTAAAAAAAATGTTGAGTGAGCGAATGCAGAGAATAACTCGAATTATTCATTTGCGCCTACATAGCATAAACTTTTGATGCCCTATTAAAGAGGCAAATGGCTACATAGCCTCAAATTTTAAACAACAGTTGAAAACTAATTGGATGCCTAATATCACAGAACTAGCTTTTTAAAGAGAGGGACTGGATGTTTTTATTCACTCCCTTCATGAAGATTTCAGGTTATTAATTTTAAGAAAATCTCCCTCTAGTTCGGTTCTCCAATGGCAATGTTAAACGTGTTCTTTATTGATATGATAGTGTTCATTTTAAATATTCCGATCATATTTCAAGTTACCCACAACTATTATTTGATAGATATAATGTTGTGTAGAATAAGTGTTTATACCTGATAAATAATTCAGAAAATGAGGTAGACTCTAGAAATACTCACATAAAGGAACTGACAGTGACAATTTTCCTTATAAAGACAAAAATATAACATACTTTTACATGATTGCGGGTGTAATACTCAGTGCAGACCCCTGGCCTTGACTTTGTGATGGCGTTTTCATTAGGTCATGGGTGTGCTGCTATTGAGTCTTTCTGTGGATGACAGATTCCTGTCAACTCAAGACCCAGCTCATCCGGTGTGTGTCAATTTGTTCTTGTGTCAAAACATAATTAAGATCTCCAGAAGAAATGAAATGTACATCTTTACTTTTGTTTTGTTTTTTCCTATTCTGGAATCAAAATGACCTTGTATTGTTACTATTTCTAATGTTTCCCTCTCAAGAGAATATAGTCTTTTCAACTGCACACTATTAGATTTGTGTATTGTTGACAATAAGTTTGGCATTCTTACAAGTAATACTGGAATCTAATATTTATATTTTTGACTTGTGCAGCCAAATGTCAATTTTTATCTTTAGCTAAGACGTTTGAATTTTTTAATTTTAGCTGTATTTTTAATGCACTGATTCAGTGCTAAAGCTCATCAGTGGAGAAACCATGTCTGTCATTTATATTCCTCTGATTCATCGTTAATCTGCTGGACATTGATTTCTTTGTGAACCAACTGCATGTGTGATCTCCTAATAAAAAAAGGTTTTATTTCAGAGACATTAGACACTGCAAGATATGACAAAATAATAATTTATAAATTATCAAAGTTTCATGAGGGAGAGGAAAAATGAGGAGCTGATGCCAGGGGCTTAGGTGGAGAGCAAATGTTTTGGGTATGTTGAGGGCAATGAATGTACAGATGTGCTTTACACAGATGTGCTTTACACAATTGATGTATGTATGGATAGTGATAAGAGTTGTATGAGCCCCTAATAAAATGATTAAATGAAAAAAAAATTACAACAGTTCAAAGTGAAGCCATGAAAGCCACTGCATGCCCAATTGTGGCATTTTAGGAAGTCTTAGGGTGTATTCTGTTAAGAATTGTTAGATATGCCAACATAAATTTAATATTTCAATTCTACTCCTACTTTCATATTTCTTCTGGTCCTTTCATATGATCAAAATCCCTGGAGTCTCTCAAGCAGAGTTCTTGTGTTGTTTTCTTTCAAAATTACTGTACCTAATTGGTGGCATCCTGGAAATACTGCTAATCATGCAGCCATTGTGCTCTCCTACATGAAAATGGCAAAAATAAGACACATTCCAAGCAGTGGTACATAAGAGACATGTCTCAGACTTAAGAAAGAATGCTACTGTCTTTTCTATAGATGATGTTTTCCATAACTTTAATATTTAACCAAGCCTTAACCAATGTGTGTTCCAGAAGCCTATTCAAGATAAGGTCGCGCTGCCTGTCTTTTAAGTGATCTTTTCCATGACCTCATTGAAAGAACAGTCAATCATTTCGGATTCGTGATTGGACATTCCTGACATATGGTTGGGCTAGATTTTAATTACTGCTATAAAAATAAGATGGCATTTCATTCACTGAGTTGTTTTTTTTAAGATCATATTGTTTTCCCTGGTTAACTTCAAGAGAAACTGTTGATTTTAAAGTGAAATAAATAAGATGGATGACAAAACAGAAAAGCTGCATAAGGACCCACTGACAGGGAGCTTTTCTCTTTCTCTTTGTGATGGTTTGTGTGATTTGGGGGCATGTCTAGTCTCACAGGATCAAGTATTATAAAGAATGAAAATGTGCGAACAGATTGTCCCTCTTGTAATGAACAGCGGTGGCAGTGGACATATCTGACTTCCTCTTGCTCTCCAAAGGAGAAGGAAAGCCAGTTCTCCCAGATTGTCACCATTGGACAGGCCTCTATACACCATCCTTCTTTCCCATCTCTCTCTCGGCATTGTGCTTTTATTCCAGGTTTAATAATTTGCTGCAAAGGCCACACTGAGCTCACAGACAATATTCACAACTACGGGTTTTTTTAGGGAAGTTAATAGATGACCACAAGTCGGGATCAGCAAGCAGGAAGGATACACACAGCCATTGGTCCCCAGCAACACCTCTAACCCAACCAGCATCCAGTCTCTGTGTTCCCCTCACTCTCAGTCACTTGTCCTTTGCCTCCACGGTCCAGGAAGCTAGTCTGCCTATCACCTACTCTCATGGTTCCATAGTCTTGGGCTAGATGAGGAGAAGATGTCTCCTGACGTCAGTACTGCTCCTCTGAG